CAGTCCCGGCAGGGGAGGGCTCCTGATATACCTAACAGGCCAACAAAAAAACCTCCAAGAGAGAAAGGCTAAGAGAGCTCGACACCACAAGACGTCTTGCAACCACCTTAAAACACCTGACCTCCACCACCTGTCCCTTCCTGGGCTGGTCCAGGGGAGAAGTAGCCTTATAAAGAAAAGGGATCCCGCACAAGCCTGATCACCACTGCAGGGGCCCGGGATAGTCCGGCGAAACCACAAAAGCGTTAGCGTTGCCACGACACACAGCTCCTAGACCCTCCAGAAAACCGCAGGGGGAGGATTGTAGCCCGCGCGGCGCCTCCCCCTTACCGCCACTAACCTGAACGGTTGGTCCTCCGGAAACCTATTCACCCTGTCTCGTACTGCACCGCTCTCACCCTCGTCCCTCACCAAGCAACCCAGTCCCACAGAGAAGACGTGTCTAAATAGAATGGCCCTCCTCGGGCCACATCTCCCCCTCATCCGAGCCCCGCTACCACCACCAGACCTCAACCTCCCAAACACCAGAAAACCTACGTCCTTTTGGCGCTCTCACCGCCATTTCCCCCCTCCCCTGTCCGAGCGACCCCCCCTCCCCCCGGCTCTCCAGCACCCTACAACCTCGGAGCGGCACTAGGGAAGAAAAAGGGTTCTTCCCTGCACGACGTGACCGCCTCCATTCCCCGTCCTTCTCCTCTTCCTCTCCCGTCTTGGGGTTCCCTCTCACCTATTCCCTCGTCCTCCAACCCCCATCCCCTTCGAACTCCTATACCCCCCCGAGCCCTGCCCTACAAACTAAGCTCAAAGCGCTCTTAGGCAATAATCTCCACCGCTTCGGTGCACCGCAGTGCGCCTTCTGAAACCGACAGGATCGGGTGGTCGGGTCCCACCCTGTCCCAGCCTCTCCACGGGGTGCCCAGCGCCGTGAAGGAGCGCAGGCGCGCCCAGAAGTCCACCACTGCCCGGGCGCGGGCCCGCTCCAAGGGGGTTGCTGCGGGTGCTGCTGCCGCCGCGCCTGCCGTTGCTGCTACCGCCCCTGTCGCCGTGTTCCGCTCCTGCGTTTGGTCCTCATCCCCCGGCGCATTCAGTGCAGGCCCCGTCTGCGGTCCCGCCCCGTCGGCCTGGATGAAAAAGTCCGTTATCCGCCTCTGCCTGGGGCCGGGTACCTGCACCTGCTGCGCGTGCTCCCGGTTCTGTGGTCCTTGGCTCCCAGCTCGTTCCTGCCTCCTGCCCGCTGCCCTCAGGCAGCATCTGCCAACCTCCATGGCAGACAGGGCCGACAGGGCGATTATATCCCATACGGCCTGTTCGCATCCGGTTGGGGCCAGTAATAGCCAGAGTTGCTTTCGGGTGACTCCACCTACCGCCGCTTGCTGAGAAGACTGTAGATGCCGGTCGATCTGTGCCCGCACCGCCTGCGCCACCGGACATTCCCAAAAGTGATGCATGCGTGGTGAGCATGGCTGACCAGCTGCTCCACCGAATCCGCCACATCCACAGCGTTCTGGAGTCATGCGGGCTAGGTGCGTGTTGCCCGGTAGGGGGACGCCATCCACTGTGAGCCGCCATAACGTCTCCTTATTCTCATTCTCCCATCGTACCCCGGACCATACGCGGGCCTGCGTCGCCCTGAATAGGCTGATTTCCGAGGGGGGCGGCGGCGACGGGCCCTGAGAATCCGTCGCCTCCCGTACAAATTCAGCTACCAGGCGTCTTCTCCTCTCCTCCATAGGCCCACATTGCAGCTGTGTCACCAGGCGAACCGTGAGGCGTGCCAGCGGGATGGCTTCCGCCATCCCAGGTATACGCCACCCAATTCGCCCAGCAATCATACCCATCACTTGCATGCTGGTCAGCAGTGGTGCTGGTGACGGTATGACAGCCTCCTCCCCTTCCGTTGCCACTGCCATCGGTTCCGTTAGCCCCCGCTGCTGCTGCTGCTGCTGCTGTCGCCGGGTCTCAACCGTTCTAGCAGCTTCGAGCCAGGCCGGGTTTATGCTGCTATGCAGCGCCGCGAGGGCTGCCCGGGTCACGGGTTTATCCCACGTGGAGATCGGGGTAAGCGGGTCGAGGTGAGTCTGGGCCCACTCCAGCCACACCGTCATAGGGAGGGTTGCCAGATCGCTGCTCTCTGCCAGGGCCCAAACCCGCACCAGGTCCCCTACCGTCTGTAGTTTCCTGCAGGTGGCAAGCCCAGGGTATTGGTACTCCAGGCCGGGGCGGCGGCCCCGGTCCGTCGGGATGGTCCCTCCAGCATCGGGGAATAGCGGATTTCCCCATAATGCAGTCGCCCAGCACCAGTCACCGGGTGTCAGCGGGTTGGTCCCGATGTCCTCTGGTGGCGGCAAGTGCCCCAGGGCTCCCACAATCCGGCTGATATCCTTTGGCATGTCACGAGTCCCAAGCCAGGGCCCAGTTGGGCTCGCGGTTGTCAGGGCCCACGGCTGGAAAGCGGGGTTCGTGAGCAGAAGGTAGGCTGAAAGCGTGCGGACCCAGGGGTGGATACCTCCGCCCACCTGCATATCTGTGTCTGTTGCGCCTGTATCTGATCTCGTGTTGCCTGTTCGCAGCCCTAGGGTTGCGATGACAAAACGAGCTGCCCACACCGCATGCCGGGCTTGGATGTGTTGCCGGAGGGGCAGCAGACCAAAGCCTCCTGTGGATGGGTGACCGATCAGGAGTTCCTTGGGCACACCAGTCAAGCGTCGGCCAGGATCATCCGGGCCTTGTTGGCGGTCGACCAGGCGAGCCGTGAGTCGCTCTATCTCGTCCAGCACGCGGTCTGGGGCCAGTCCGCCATGCTCCATGTGCCAGGTGACCGTCTGCAAGCCATATGCCGACGCCGCCGTTGCCCTTCCAAATGCTGACAGCGGGAAGCGGGACAGACGCTGCATCCTGCCGGGAGCGGTGATGGCCTCCGGCGACGCGACGGCGGCGATCAATTCCTGCGGCAAGTCTCATCACAGCCGTTCGCCGTCCTTGAACTTCGGACTGGGTGAGGGGCGTTTGTGCCGTGTTGGGTCGTGGGGACGTGCGCATGCTGTGCGCCAGCTCGGATGCCATACAATGGCCTCTTTCCACCGCCAAATGATCATTAACCCAGTAGAGCATTCATTGTGCCATTCAGAGCCGACAAAGGGATGGAACGACGTGTTGGACGTGACGGTTAGTCTTTGCTGAATCCCTTTCACCAATGCCCAGTGCTTGTGGCCATTGCAACGACTTTACTGCATGATTCAATTGTTCCAGTGCGCTGGTGTTATTTAAGCAGGTTATATCAACAGGTCATTAGAATGTCCGCCGCGCGTCTTGGAATTTTGTCTCTTTTCCTTTCGATTGCTATCTCCCTTTATGCTAGAAGCCTTTTGACTATGTGCGTTACGATTCTGGGGTTAGCTTCCTCCTGGCAAGTGTTTTGCGCGTTGATTGCTTGCCAAAGAGTGCAAGCTAGAGAATAGATTATTAGCGTCTGATGAATAATCTACATACAGATGTTTTGGAACTTTGAGCCATCGTTTCCATGACCGTCCGCTAGGCGTCCGCTGGAACGGTCAGGATGTACGGCGTTGCGGACAGGACCGTCCGCGGGCGGGGTATATGTTTCATTCATTTCAATCTTGTTTCCATAACACTTTCATATCACTTTTATCTTGTCCCATACCACTTTCAGGTACCTCCTTCACCCACTTTGAAAGTGGGTTTTAGTTGGATATTCCAACTAAGTAGTGACTTTGCTCTCGCCAAGCCCATTGCTGACAAGAATGTTAGATTGCCTAACGTTCTGCGCGATTGTGTACTGGTGCGTGCTGTGATGGTGGTGGTGGTGGTGCGTGAGCAGCCTCTGCTTGTCAAGCTGGCCGTATGTTCACAGACGTTTTTCGCGGGAATCGGCTGACGTCAATTGTGTGGTTCGTTGTCGCAGGGTCTTGGCGACGGTAAGAAGATTTGCTGCCCACTAAGGCGCCAGCGCAGCTGTTCCGTGCACGGAGTCACGGATATGCTGGCGTCTTGACGGGTCGGGCTCCCTGTGAAACACAGGTCTACACCACATTGCCCATCAATGTGGCAGTGTGTGGAGCCGATCCCGCGCGGGGCGTGCTGGGCGCCCTACTGCCCCACACCTTCGGTGAGGGCGTGCACGGTGCCTGTAGTGTCTTGGTGCAGATCGCTGTCAAGGGTGGGCTCTTCCGAGGCCAAGCGGCCATGAACCCCGAAATCACCCATTTTCCGCGCCTCCCCCACCTCCCCTCTTTTTTGCCGCCTCTACACCTACCTCCACTTATTTAAGGTTTGGTGTAAGGTTTTTATTTCGTGCTTATTTTAGTCTTGGCAGCTAGGTAGGTAGGTTTCGGACATCATCCGCACTACATCATCCCGAGGTCGCCTCCTTCAAGAACGCCTTTTGATCAGTTTTACTTCTTGTACACTCTTTCCCTGGCAGCAGCTTCACTCCATGGTTCGTCTTTCCCCCTCCTCCCCACACACACATGCGCTTCTCTTCCTACCAACTGCCTCTCCTCCCATTGGTATTTCTTTTGCGTTCTTTACAACCCAGTTCTCTATTTCTACCTTCTTTGCGTTCCTGCCAGCATGTACGTTGTCCAATGCGTCATCCCATTGTCAGTTCCGTCATCTCGTACGACACCTTCTGTGTCGTCCTGCGCCGCCTTTGCATCCCTGTTTCCTTTTTAGTCGCTGCCTTTTCTTCCGCTTTCACATGGGTTCTTTAGGGCTTCTTATTTCCAGCTCCCCCAGTCAGCCAGCTTAATACTCCCTTTCAGTGGCATTCGCATGCGTTCTTGTCATTAGGTCTGCTCACAACTTTCCCACCTTCCGCCTCGCATGTGCCTTTGCCCGCTGCTTCTGCTGCCTGGCCAGGTGAGTCCGAAGGAGGTTCGAGCTTTATCGGTATATCGCGTTGTGTTGGTCGGCTGGCCAGACTAGGATAGTTGGGTCAGGCGCGTGTTGGGGGGTTGGGAGGAGCACTTGCATGTCATCAGCTTTTTATTACCAGCTCATCAGCCAGTTTTGGTCCAACCCCATCAATGCCGCCTCCAGGCCAGCAGCAAACTTTATTCCAGCTCACGTCGTCAGTTCTTTTTGCCGCCTCTCCACCTACCTTTACTTCTTTATGGCTTCACTCTACTGCTTTTGTTCTGCTCTTATTTTAGTCTTGGCGGCTAGGTAAGTAGGTTTCCGCGGTCGACATCATTACATCATCCCGAGGTCGGCTCCTTCAAAACCGCCTACTGGTCAGTTCTGCTTCCTTGGCAGCTGCTTCACTCGTTCGTGGTTCATCTTTCCCCCTCCTCCCCCTCGCTCTGGGCTTGGCTGGCTTGGGTTTTTGGGTATCTGGCTTTTCTTGGATTTGGAATAAACTACCCCTCCTCTCACCTCACTCCTCTTACACCGCCCCCTACAGGCGGCGAAGTGGACATCGATGCTGACACTTGGCGTGGCTACCCGTGCAACAGCCATCTGGTGGCAAAGGTGCTGTTCATCCTGCAGCGCCCCGGAGCCATCGTCACACACATTATGACCGGTGGCAGCCAGGTGCGTGTGCGTGTGTATGTTTATGGTTGGGGGCGGGCGAGGTAGGGCCACCAAAGGCGGCGTGAAGAAGGTAGGGAAGCGTGTGCATGTGAATGGGGGGCCTAGGGGCAATGCTGAGCGCGGCCGGGTGGACCGTTTGCCTGTCTGCCTGTAACAGCTTCACCCAAGGCCCCAAACGTCTTGTGTGTCTGACACGGCATAACGCCGTGTAAACTGTGGTCACACTTGTGTGATGAGGGCAAGCAAGTGGTTCCTTCTGTGCACGGCTGGGAACGAGAGTGGGATGCCCCTGTGCTTTTTGGGGTGGGGTCGCGTAGGAGTCGCTCACCTAGTGACATGATGTTCTATGTGGAAGCATAGAACTCAAAGTCCTTGTTGAGGCGGGCTGGATTCCAACCCAGCGACAAGCATGAGTGTACATGAAGTAAATGAGACGGCTGGCAGCGGAGTCTTGAACTCCGAACACCAATAAGTAGTCGTGACACGTAAGTGCCTGGCCATAGCATCCCGCCCGGGTAGCTTACATCTCGGCCTACCTGCCGGAAATTCCCTACTACGGTCCTGCCGTGCTAGGATAATGTCGTGGGGCACGGGGCCCCAGCCCGTTGGGTTCACTACAAGCAACTGCCATCTTCGTGACATGTTACAATAGTATGTACGAAACTCAAGTCGAATCGTTGCCGAAGTTAACAATAGTATTAACAGTAATCGTTGAAATGTTCTAAGGGAAATGTAGTGTACTACAGGTGGGGGAGCCCTCTTGTGTCGGTTTATCTTCTTGGGGGTGTTTTTAGGGCTATGCCTGGCAGGTGTGTGGGGTGTGATGGGTTCCGGCATTTGCCCGGTGCGTTGGGTCTGCTGTGTGGGTGCACCCTACGGGGCTGACCTGACGCCTTGCCGTGCAGCGGTGTCATGTACCGTCTGCAACGCAGCCACCTGTGTCTATCCCACATACTGACACGGCCATTGCGGCCACGAGCATGCCTAGTCTCGGTGCCGCCATGTATTGGGGAACGGGAGGCCAGCTCCCGCAGCCCACGGCATCCCGCACACATGCGCCAAGAAGGTTTGGGGAAACCGCCAGTACCCCGGGATAATGATGACGGTTTCCTGGTTTTTTTCCCCATAGTGCGGCACGGTCCGTCTCTGCAAGCGCGCCCACCACAGTCCCCATTCCACTTCACTCTAAGTGACACTGCACCGATACTTACCCTTTCTTTTCTCCATCTTCTTGAGCATTGGGATGTATGTCTCTTAGCCTGCTTACTGCGTGCTAGAGACGCCACATTTGTTTCTTTCACATGCCCTTCCTTGCTGCCACCCTATGCCTGTGCTTCCACCGCTGTCTGTAGGTGAGACTGGGAGTTAGGCGTGCTGGGTAACCGTTGGTAGCGGGTTCGGCAGGCTTATTGACACATATGGGTGCATTTCGGGGACAGGGTGCCTGGGCGGCCGCCTGAACTGTTACAGACGCAACTTGTGGGTAAGTATAATTACCGGGGCTACACGACTGTGCGACCAAGCAGTACATGGTAGGTATTGTAGGTAACACGATAAATGGTCTGGGTTCTTTCCATTATCATTGAGCAACACACAAACACATTTACACATACACATGCCCAGGTTGAGCCGTTCGTGCCCGTCCTATTCGTGGTGCCCATCCTGTTCATCACCACCATGGTGCTGCGCGAGGGGCTGGGCGTGCAACTCATGTCACCAACGGCCAGGTGGGGTTGCGTGTGTGGAGTCATGTATGTTGGAAAACGAAAACAGAAAGAATGCCCCATCGCTCGGTGTTACTTGCGGAATACCTGCCAAATACCGCTTGGATGGTAGCCATGTAGCCCCGTAGTGTAGCAGCTGACCACTGAAAAGGTCTCTCGAGTTGCTGGTGGTCGCGCTCTGCGCGTATTTATAGCACCGTACTGTGTACCGGCTGCTACATTCCCCCCCCCTTTGAAGGGAACCGTCCCGGGCCCTTAGAGCCTCGTATACCGCCAGCCTGTGCCTACCTTCGCCTACCCTCGGGCAGTGGGGTGTCCAAGCCCACGTCACGTCATGCCGCCCTTCATGTGCCTAGCCTTCAGGTTTTTCAGGCACAGAGACAGTCCAGTCGGTTCAGCTACTTTTATAGTTTTTTGCGCGATTTTCGCTCACTGAGTCGCCACACCCGAAATACCACTCGAACGTGATCGGTGGGGGTTGAACTGACGACTTCAGAATCGTGAATTTCATGAGGTCTCGATATCAAATGTAGCAGCTGACCACTGAAAAGGTCTCTCGCGTTGCTGTCGGTCGCGCTCTGCGCGTATTTATAGCACCGTACTGTGTACCGGCTGCTACACGTAGTCATGTGTGTGTGTGTGTGTGTGTGTGTGTGTGTGCACATGGAGGTTTGCGTGCACTTGTGTGTGCGTGTGGAGGCATGTGTAGAGGCGTGCGTGCCCACCCCAAAAGCCATCGCCTGCCCTATGTTGACCCGGCTGCTCACTGACATCTTCAAGTACATCCCACTATGCACACCACCCATACACACACTACACACACAAACACACTATAAACACACACATACACTTTCACCGCCCAAGCAGCTGCACACTGCTCAAGTTCGGCATCGCTGTGGGCAGCCGCTCCATGATCCTGCTCAAGTCGCTGCTGCTGGGCAAGGGCTCACTCTACTACAAGCGTGAGAGCAACATGGTGCGTTCGGGAGGGTGTCGTGAGGTAGTGCAGCCGGGTGGTGCAGTGAGGTGGTGTGGCCACATGGGGCAGTGGTGTGGGTGTGGGCATTTCCTACCGGGGCTCCCTTAGTCCCACCAGGCCTGCTTTTTGTTGATGAGGCTGTACCGCTGCTGGAGCTAGGTGTGCAGCTGACATGCATGCCACCTTGTGCTGTGGTACGACACACAACCTCCTCACGCCCACACGGCACTCTTCCCACATCCCAGCACCCACTGCATCCCTGCACAGGAGTTCTTCATCATTGTCTTTACCGCCTGCACCATCAAGATCCCCTTGCTGCACGAGGTGGCCGTCAGCGGCGGCACCATGCTCGTCATCTGCATGCAGGCGGCACTGTGCCCGCACCACTTCCTGCCTGAGGTCGACCCCCTCAACGTGGTGCTGCAGGTGGGCGGTTGGAGTGTGGCGGGCATGGGAGGCTTGAGCAGGGTGGGCAGGGGAGGGAGGGGGAAGGGATAGGTCAATCCAAACCCAAGCAAAAGACCGAGACCCTGAACCGAAAAACCACCATCCCAGCGAGCGTGAAGGAGACCTTTGTCCTGAGCAGCCTTGAGCCTTGTTCTCCTGGTCGGTGTAGGCTGTTGACCATCAAGTAGCACCCAGGCTTGCAGCGTGCAGTTACCCAACCCATTAATGCTGATGTGCACAACACGCTACAATACTCACCTGTGACAAACCAAAGGGGTACCTGCATCACGTTGGGAGTGCTGGCATTTAGGCAGACGTCGGTGGGAGGGGTGTAACTAAAACTGCAACACAATATGCGTGGGCGGGGGCCTAGATCATTACGGAACCCAAGAAAAACCGAGAAACCCAAACCTGAGCCAGCCCAAACCCAAGGACAAGACCAATACCAAGAGCCCCAGACGATTCAACCCAGTGCGAAGGAGGCAAGGAGTGCGAAGGAGGATTGGCTTTAACGTTTGCATTGGGCACCCTTCAGCCTTGTTCTTTTGGTCGGTGTAGGCTGCAGAATGTCGACTCTGTTGTATCCACTTCCACTGTTTAGGTGGTAGTGAAAACTACCGATTAGTGAATGAAGGGAGGCTAAATGCCTCAGCAAGAATGACGACTTGTACAGCAATCTGTACCTCTTCCCTGAATTCTGAACCTCTTCCCTGAATTCTGAACCTCTTCCCTGCCCTCTCCCCTTCCCCATTTCCTTTCTTCTGGATGCACAGGCCACCACCGCCACCGTGTTCATGCTGGTGAACGCATCCTACCAGCAGCACTGCCGCCTGGCCAGCCAGGCGGCTAAGCACAACACCCTGGCGGCATGCAGTGCAGCCGCAGGGGGAGCGGGACCCGGCTCAGGCAGCTTGACTGATGGGGGTGAGCTGTGCAGACAGTCAGGCAGTGCCCGGAAACTGACAAGTTGTGTGATAGTGTCGAAGCCTTTGGGTATGTCCAGGGGGCCAAGTGTTCACCAGGTCGTGGACTTTGCTTGCAGCTGCGGGCACTTGATACACTGCATGGTTCATGTGTGGGCTTACTGTGCACCTTTTTTCACTGGCCAATTGTGTTGCAGATGTGGTACATCTGCTCAAGACCATCCAGAATACTATGCAAAACACTCTGAGCGACATGGTGAAGCTCACTGAGTTCTTATCGAATGTGGTGCTTGTGGACCTGAAGCACCACCTCAGGCCACCAAGTTCAGGGCACGCATCGCGTGGCTCCAACCAGGTCTTCCGTTGCCGCCTTATGAAGTCCTATGGCATGACCCCGAAGGTAAGCAGGCATGTGGCAAGGCACCACACACACTGACCTAAATGTCTGGAATCTCGCCTACAGTCTGTGAGATGTAATCTGACTGGGTCATGGTTGTCAGATCCCGCACCCTTACCTGTAATGCTCCCTGTTTGTTCGACCACATGCAGTCAATGTGGTGCATGGTGCTGGGTAAGGCGCTTCCCGACGACTTCCTGGTTGCCGCCCACCTTTTTGCCGTGCGATGGGAGGTGGGTATGGGCCCTGGGTGTGGGCAGTGTGCATCGTTGCATGTTCAGCCTTGATTACCACATGCTGATCAATCAAAGTCTCCCGCTTGATGTACCCTGTCCCTGTCATGTGTTGCCATTTCTTAAGAATCCATGATGCAGCAGTGGGATGGCCACATATTATGCAGCATGTATGTAGTGGCTGGGCTTTCTAGACAAGAGGGCTGTGGCACTTGGTCACAGTGATATCACCTGACCAGGGGAAGGGGGTCATGCCTGGGCCTTGCTTATTGCAGCGGTATGCAGACATCATCATGGGCAGTGACTTCCACATCGATGGCTCCCAGAATGGCATCATTTGGTGCAGCGCCATCCAGCATGAGTACGAGCTGCAGAACATCTGCTTCTCGAGGGGCAGCAACAAGGATGAGTTCATCCTGCACGTGCTGGACAAGTCCCTGCTGCCAAAGAAGCTGTCATCCGTGGGTCAGCACAAGTGAGTTTGCCTCCATGCCACACATGACGGGAATTTGCCATTTGGTGCAAACTGAGCTACCCAGTGTCATGCAGTGCAACAGGTTGTTTGATTGAGGACGGCCTTGGGACAGCATTATTTTTTTGCGGAATATATTCCGAATTCGGAATAAAAATTGTTCGTGGTCCTGAAAGTTAAGAATAAATAATATAATGTTCCAACCGTACAAGTTCATTCCTCCAGCCAAAAATGGACTGTCCATGCCAAAGCAGCTAGAATCTCACAGGAGACATACATGTTAACCGTATCATAAGTACTTTAATGCCATGAATACTGTTTGGAAGCTCACACCCGAAAGTCAACGAGGAATTGGACTGTTTTTGACTGGACCAAACACTGCAAACATTCGGACCCAAAGCTCCCAAAGTGTGGAGGGCAATTAAAGCAGGTATTAAACTTCACTGAATTCGAAGCCATTAGCGATGTTAATGAAGACAGTGTAGAGGTCGTAGGCAATGTGGACGCAATGCTGCAGCCAGCCGACGACAATGACGCCACTCCAGTTGTCAACAGCGAGCAGGCCAAACATCAGCGTTCGTCATATGGAGACAATCATGATGGGCCAGGAAACAGGTTGTGTTTGGTGGTTCTGGTTCATTGCTGCTATTCATCATTACTTTTGCAACCCGGAAAGCCATGTAATGTTATCTTTCAACGTGAATGTTAATGAATCATCGAGGGTTTCTGGTGAAGCAGCTGGCCGTGGTCATTGCGGTTCATTGTAGGGTGACNGCAATGACCACGGCCAGCTGCTGCCATACGGTGGCGAAAGTAACTTGCCTTGCATAAGGTGCACGACGGCGAGTTGTAGTGAGAACACTGCAGAAGGAAAGGCAGCACCGGCATGTGTGTATGTGGAAGTGTTCTGTGGGTGGGTGGAAGCCACTGCTAGCAGTGGGGATATGGACAGTGCGTTCAGGCAGCCGGACGCACATCACAACCGTTTACTCACACGTTGAAAAGGGGAAAATGTATGGCGCCTTGGCACTGTGCACGACACAAATTTTGTAGAACCGTGGTGCACAGTAGGGTTGTAGGGATGTAGGCAGGTCTTTAGGCCCCCAAAACAAGCAGGTGGCTGTGGTGACTGCAAGCTTTTGATACCAGTCTTTCCTTTCAGGCGTGCAACATATGCTGCATGAGGGCGCTGCGAAACACACCTGACACGCCAGCAACATGCAGCAACCATTGCGTGTCTTGATAACAGGGCACTGTTATCAGCGGCCTGCCGTGCCGACCGAAGCTGCATGTGCCCAGGTTTAATGCCGCTTGGTGATTATTCAAGGAACCGCACGACCTTGCAGTGCTCCTCTCGGGTTGGATGAAGGGCAGCACCCCTTGCCGGCAATATGCTGTGTATGTTGCCCATGCCCGCTGCTGCTTATGAAGGCTGCTCTCAGCAAGCCAAGCAAGCGAATATTCTATCCTCCATTGAAAGTATCCTTTTTTAAGATTGCCACTGTCACCACAAGCTATCCTTTACATTTTTGTTTATCTTTTTTATTGTCTTTCTTCTTTCTTTTTTGTTTTTGTTTCGCAACTTTTAAGCAGCCATTATTAAGCAGTTCAATTGTTCTGTGGACGCGTACGCCTGCATGCCAAATGACCTGCGGACTTCACGCTGTGGCATTTCACAGTAGCCGGAGCAACCCGCTGGCCGGTCCGCACAGCAGCCAATCTGGCGTTCGTCAACGCACGCATTTTCCACATGCATAATGCTTATCCCACCAGCACTCCTGGCCCTTGAAAAGGTCAGACCCTTTGTTGCACGGCTTCACATTTTGGGCATGATAATCAAGCCACTTCAGCTCCCGATCGAATTTTGCCCGCCCGCAAATTTTACACACATACATATCAAGCCTGCGTTCTCGGCTTTCGAGAGCTGGCCTTTGCACGGCCGGCCATGGTCTTCATATTTTGGAGTTGTATGGAGTTTTTATTCGGCAGTCGTACCTGCATATCGTTTGTATGATAGCTGCTTAACAATGGTGAACGTCCTCTATTCGATCAGTGCTTGAGAGATTGTGGTGTGTGTGTTGTGACATTCCCCAAACCTGGTGTTTGCACAAACTAAACTGTAACTCATCGGTGGGGGGTCTGGGGGGGGTGTGGAGGCCCCCCCAGCACCTTACAGATTCGGAATACTTTTATTCCTGCAACTAAAAACCTATTCCTCCATTAGGACTGGAAAATTAACCAGCAAAACTGAAAAAAAACACTGCCTTGGGGTGCCTCCCATGAACATACAGGAATGACACAGCCTTTGTGAAGGTGCTGGGTGACATCACCTTTGGGGACCTTCACAACAAGCATGTGAAGTTTGAGAGCACCACTGGCAAGGGGCCCTACAAGCGTGCTCTGGCCCTGCAGGTAAGCAGTGCCAACTGCACACATTGAGTGCTCTTTATTTGTGGTGCTTTAGCAGCACTACTATCTCTGTATTTTCTAAGTAAGAATTCTATAGTATTGCCATAAGAGAACAGAAAGAAGCTGTAGGTTTTTTGTCCATAGGCACATTTCTTGCATACTTCTATTATTTTCATTTTTCTTATTAAAAGGAGCTGCTGGCCCCCCATGTTACTTCAAGCACATCCCGACCTGTGAAACCACCTGTAGCAGCTGACCGCTGAAAAGGTCTCTCGAGTTGCTGGCGGTCGCGCTCTGCGCGTATTTATAGCGCCGTACTATGTACCGGCTGCTACATTCCCCCCCCTTTGAAGGGAACCGTCCCGGGCCCTTAGAGCTTCGTATGCCACCAGCCTGTGCCTACCTTCGCCTACCCTCGGGCAGTGGGTAATTACTCCACGTCACGTCATGTGCCGGCTCACATGCGCCTAGCCGTCTTCAGATTTTTCAGGCACAGAGCCAGTCCAGTCGGTTCAGCTACTTTTAATATTTGTGCGATATTCGCTCTCTGAGTCGCCACACCCGAATACCACCCGAACGTGATCGGTGGGGGTTGAACCGACGACTTCAGGATCGTGAATTTTCACGAGGTCTCGATACCAAATGTAGCAGCTGACCGCTGAAAAGGTCTCTCGAGTTGCTGGCAGTCGCGCTCTGCGCATATTTATAGCGCCGTACTATGTACCGGCTGCTACACCACCTGGCTACATGCATTGGAACCCTGTACTGCATATGGTATGGACTGTGCAGGCAAGGTTAGCACTGGCGCATTGTGCAAAGACTTACCCGAACGACTTCGACCCGACGGTGTACCTCTTTGATGATATGTCGGAGCACGAAGGCAAGGAGGAGCTCATCAAGATGTGGCTGAGCCGGCTAGACACTGGAAGTGTTGTGGAGGTGGGGACCGAGTCATCCATGTTCCCAGAGGAGTCGGTGGACATGGAGGAGGTGGAGGACATGGAGGAGGTGGACATGTAGTGAAGGGGCCCTTAGATAGAGGCATGCAGGGTCCCAGGAAGTGGTGCATGACCCAGGAAGTGGTGGCCCAGCAGGGGATGGACATGTGCAGTTCTCTGTTGTGTGCAGGATGAGATAGCACTGGTGTGCAGCTGTGTGTGGTGGTGGGGCTGGGTGGTAGAACAGCAAAGCTGCACATGAGAGTAGACACTGCACCAGCACCTACAGCTAGGTTCGTGTGTGGGTGCGTCTGTATGTTTGTCTGAAGGGGCCAGAACTCATCATAAACTTTTATTCAGCAATGTCAGGGATTACGAATCCAGCTTCAGTCATCCTTTGTCTGGTTTTGTGAGACACAAGACAGAATCACGACTACAACTGAACTGCCTTGACAACTGTTATCCCCTTAGGCTAGGGCTGCTCCTGATACTACTGCTGCTACTGATCGGCTAGGACTGCTGGGCAAATATTGTGTCACTGCAACGGTCCACAGGGCCTCAACCTTTCCTTTTGGTGTGTGTTTGTGTTTGTGTGAATAGCAAGGAAGGTGTTCCCCTGTGTCGAGTGTGGCAGGTGTCTCTGCAGGTGTTCCTATGAACTGCTTATGTGTGTGCGGAGGTTTCCCTCAGCTAGGCTAATCTACTGCTTTTTCCTTTACTACTTTTTTATATTATCAGGACCGCTGGGAGCAGTTTCATTGCATCTTGATAGAAATGCAGTAAGCTCTGTTATATGATGTTGATGATCCATTTTATATAGGTTTAATAACACATATATCCTAATACACAAGGATGTGCATGTCCGAATGATGGGTGTGCCATACAGGAACAGTCTGAAGGAAGGTGCAGGAAGGTGCTTGAAGGTGATAAAAAAACCTTTCAGGATTGGCGCTCCCCTAATCAGGCTTCCTCGTGTTAGCTAGATGGCAGAAGGTGGGCCGAATTTGTTGTGCCCTAAATTAGAACTTGAAGTGCAGAGTTGGGGGATGCTTTAGTTAGAATGGCTTGCCGGCCAGAGGCCTTATCAACTGCTAACCGTTACAACTGAGTACCCATTGGTATGTTAGGTCTGTAGGGCATGTAAGGCATGTTGGTCAAACAGGGTTAATGGCTTTCCATTTTAATGCTGTACTTCAGCTTCCTGCAGCGATGCAACGAATCTGTGGAATCCTTAGCATGCAGTGGGGGCGCAAGTGGCGGTAATTGCCAGTTTACATGCTATGTTACATTGGGAAAACGTTTTGGACTAGGGGGCCAGCTTTCCAAAGCCGAAAAGGGGCAGTCCGTACTGCATTGGAGGGCAAGCACAAGAACGCAGTGACGTTTGGAGTACACATTTGTTATTGAGATTCCCAAACAAGGAAGGTCGGCAGACTTGAGATTCCCAAACAAGGAAGGTCGGCAGACTTGTTACGGCGGCCTAGACCTGTCTGGATTGCGGCAAGCATGCAGCCGCCATAGCATAATCATTATTGACTGAACAGTTAGCCTTCTCGTGATGCAGCAGTCTGTAGAATGATATTCACACAAAGCAGGAGTGTCATTGCGGCAATATGTAGGTGGTACTTCCATTGCATCCATGCTCGGTCTGCTGGCTGGCAGCCCAAGGCGCACCAAAGTGCCCGTGCTGCATGGGGCAATTGTTGTCCACTCCCAGCCAGAACACATTTGAGGATCATTCCAATTGCACATTTTGAAGCAGGAATCAGCGGCAAAGCTGATTGTGTCTTGTAAAGGCACACTTCGTTTGAACTTGGATTGAATGAATGAAGAAGGGAATAAGAAGGACAACAATCAAACAGGCACGAGCGAGATGTCAGGAGGGAGGTGCTTGGAGTGTTGTGATGGGTCGGTCTAACAGGGGTGTTTGCACTTGGCCGCACACTAACATTAAGTTCTAAAGATCTCACACCTGGCTCAGCGAATCACCCAAGCGATAAGAAACTTATTAAATACAATAATAGAAAGTAAAATTCTCTAAAAAATTGCGTAAAGGGGCCCCGTGCACGACTAGGGGGGCGGCTTTCCAAAGCCGAAAAGGGGCTCGGCCCCCGTTTGATTCGCAGGGAAGTCCGTACGGCATAAGAGTGCAAGCACAAGAACGCCGCCACATTTGGAGTACAGACTTGTTAAGTACAGGACTTGTTAAGTACTGGAGTACAGACTAGTTGAAATCCTCAAACATTAAAGGTCGGCAGACTTGCTACGGCGGTGTAGACCTGTCTGGATCATCGCCATAGCATGATCATTATTGACTGAACAGTTAGCCTTCTCGTGATGCGACAATCCGTAGAATGACATACACACAAAGCAGGAGTGTCAACGTGTGTTGCCGCCGCTGCGCCAAATCCATGAGTCGATACGTAGGTGGTACTACCGTTGCATGCATGTTCGATGCTGGCCCTTCTGCTGGCTGTCAGCTCAAGGCGCGCCAAAGTGCTCGTGCTTCATGGACCAATTGGCGTCCGCTCCCAGCCAGAACGCATTCGGGGATCATTCCAATTGCACATTTTGAAGTCGGAATGCAGCGGCAAAGCTGATGGTGTGTCGCACGGAAGTTAATGTCCACTTTGAAAAGTTATCAGCAGGTCTGAGGCCCTTATAACTAGTGTGCGACGAATACGGACTTAGTGTCCTTACAGGGTGTCTCCACTGGGAAGTCTGTTAGCGACCTTTTTGAAAATTCTCACCCGGGACGTCAGCTTTGCACGCTCTGTTTCGCAATATCACATATCCTATATAAATAAATGATAGGAATGCAAAAGGGTTGACGGAAGGCGGGGGGACGGCGAAGAACGTAGGGCCCATGTCGAGACAAGGCCCTTGTTAGCAGTCCAATAAGCCCACAAAAGTTAAAGCTCCTCCGGACCAGCCCATAACAGGGAGTCTCCACTGGGAAGTCTGTTGACTATCTCCGGAAAAGTTATTGGCGCTAACAATGGCTAACAAAGCCTAACAAAGTACTGTCTCCACTAGCAGCCCCGAAACCATAATTTTCCCGTCTTTTAGCGCCATTTCGCTCCTGCTCGAGCATATTTTTTATGGCGTTTGGGACCATTGCATTCCTAAGCCCTGGCTATGAAGGCGTTGAGCCATTTCCTGCTGCTGAGCGGCCTGGGTAGCAGCATGGGCATCGGCATCGCTGAACAGTCGGGGCAGCGGACTCTGCATGGGCTGTTGAATGGTTGCCATTAAGGCATTGTGCAGTGAAGTAGGAAAGTCCTCAGACGGAACCGGCGAGGGCGACTGGTTCTGCGACATTTCCGTATTGGTCAACGGCGCAAGTCGGCAAGCAGTCAAGGTAGTAGACGGAAAGCATAGCAAAGACCGGGTGATATTAGAATTAAAAAAGAAGCTACGAAATTTTCCGCAAAGTTAGCAAGGCTTATGGGCTGGTGTTACAAGACGGGAAAATTATGGTTTCGGAGCTGCTAGTGGAGACAGTACTTTGTTAGGCTTTGTTAGCCATTGTTAGCGCGCCAATAACTTTTCCGGAGATAGTCAACAGACTTCCATGTGTAAACACCCTGTTAGTGTACGAGGCGTTTCCATTGGGCCCTTCGGCTTTTCGCGTACGGAGCCCCTTTACACGATTTTTTAGAGAACTTTTACTCTCTGTTACTGTATTAAACTAGTTACTTATCGCTTGGGTATTTCGCTGAGCCAGGGAGCCAGGTGTGAGATTCTTTTGAACTTTATGTTAGTGTCCGGTCTAGTGGAAACACCCTGTAAATCCCTGGCGTTAATCCGCACTGGAAATACCGGTTTCTTAAGCTTGTAGGGAGACTTTTACTTGCTTGCACCTTTCGGCCTACCTTCAAATGCGCATAAAGGTCCTATTCTTCGCCAAAAGTCGTGAAGTGGCTGGGCTAAGTGAGCAGGTGTTTGAGCTGGCAGACGGCGGCAATACAGAGGACCTATTGCATCAGATCATCTCGGCTCATCCTGGGCTTGAAAATGTCATGAAGTCATGCGTGTTTGCTGTAAATCAAGAGTACGTCCGGCCATGCGACAAGGAACCGCTGAAGGAGGGCGATGAAGTCGCCATTATTCCACCTCTCAGCGGCGGTTAACAGGATGCTATCCACTGTAAAGAGCCTGCTTTGCTAAGCGTGAACTCGCGTTTCATTACTCTGGGGACACGACATCGTGCTTTCAAGTGCACGTGTTTATGAACGCGTCGATGGGATAACACCACACGTTATAAATTATCCAGCTACCTTTTGAAAGGCCGTGTACTGCAGCAATGCCTGTCCGTTTCGATTCTAGGATGTAAACATATGGGTCGTACAGCATTACTGAGTCTAGCTCTTGCAAGTTGTGCTTTACAGGCATCTGACGCCGCCACCAGCAAAAGGATGGATCCAACCTTCTTAAACTCCACTTCATGTCTATTAACATATTCCTTCCTGTAACTAAACATTTTGACATATGCACCTCCAGCACCCATCTAAGATTGCAATATCCAAAGCCCTATGTACACTGTCGACTCAGGAGCCCTGTAATGGATTTCAATGTTAAAGCATGCTCTGCGGAATGAACAACTACGCATCACGCATATAACTATTTTCTTAACTCCCAGCAGCTAGCTCAGTGTTAGCAGCCCAGTATTAGGGCCCATGATGTCCAGGATCACCTTTTGAATCTCGTCCCCAGCATCCCCCCCTCCAAATCACACAAGACCAATATCGCACGACACGACGAAACACCCTACGTTCCCCCCATCATCATGCAAACAAAAAGAGCAACGCTCCATAGACAGTCAATGCTCAATGTCGTGGATGTGTCGTACACGCGCAGCCCTCAGCTGTACGGTCTTCAGCATACGACACCCTACTCTCCCAGCTCAGCCAAGGAGGTTTTCTCGCCTCCTTTATCCATCAACTCCTTTTTACCCCTGACGAGACTATTGGATGAATTCTTTTCGCAGTCTCACCACCCACCCCCGCCTGCGACTTCCTGCAGCGGTGGGGGGGATGCTGCACACATGACAGCTGGATCCAACCTATCAGCTTTTTGAATACTCTTCTGGTTTGCGCAGTCCCTGCACAGTCCCTGAGCCACGCGCCTCCACCGAAAACATCAAAACCATTCATCAACTCCTAACTCCCAACGAACTCGCAACGCCCGGATCAGGCATCTCATCGTTTGAGACCTTCAGCAGACGATTTGCGCAAATTAAACTTGAAAATTTGATGTCGTTTTCTACTAGCTAGCCTATTTGCTTGCTTGTTAGCTCACTTACTTGCTGGCCAGCTATCTAGCCAGCTTGCTTACTTCTCTCCTCCCACTAGGAGGAGATCTCCCCCGGGGGGGGGATCCCACAGCGTCACAGTGATGGACGTCACACACACAGCGGCAGCAAGCCAACATCAGCACACAAAACAATAGACACAGAGACACACACATACATACATACACACTACATGTAGTAACAATAATTACTTTGCACGAGACAACAAGACAACACTACATCATGGCTATAAAGGATCCTCGACCTTGCACCGGCCATCACCCAAAGCTATCATAAATTTAAAACGGCGTTGAGAGCGGTTGCTTGGCAAAAGAACGGTTTTACCTGCCCCTGGTGGAAGTGATAACTGCGGCAGCTCAGGTTTCGGAGCGAGCGCAAACAAAACAGCCCAACAAAGAAACCAGGGCCTTACGCGGCGCGTACTTGAATATCTGTTAACGCGTGCTTGTGGGCAAGAGCTATCGCACAAGTATTTCCTCAAAATGCAACAAAACAAACAACAGACAACTCCCGAAAGTGTGACGGAACCCTGGCTCCGAAGCCCTCTCCCCCCCCCGGGCCGCCGAAAAATAGTTTTAAGATGTGATGGGCTTTTTATTTCTAGCTGTTGGTGGGCTCAACACTCTCACACACTGTGAATAGAATCTGTAAAGACTGGTACTCAAAATGACACACACAAATTTGAGAGCTGTTTTGAGAGGTAATGCGGCAAAACAAAAAAACACGTATCTTCGCATAATTGCTCTAAGCGGTGCGCTACACACACCTCGCCAAAGTTGACTTAGGGGCTACTTCTTCTTAAGAGTGCTGACATAAACGTCAGGACATTCATTGCAACATACATAAATACAAACGTACATACTTACATACATACATACGTACATACGTACATAGGAAATACACACACATACACACGGTAGAGCGCGACTTTCCGACACGACGACATCAGCTGCACGAGAGTCCCTCTCCTCTCGCACCGCACTGCTACGGCTTTCCGTTCCATGATGAATGTCCACCCTCAGGAATTCCCACCACCACTGGGACCTGACGGCCCTTTTCCATAAACCCGAGGGAGGATCTTTCATCCCCATATCCCACATTTCCCCCCCCCCCCCACACACACACACACATACGCCGCCTCCTCCCCCGTCCGGGGCTCACCATTTCTCCTCCCTCTTGCCCCATCGTTCCTCCTCCTCCTCCTCCTCCTCCTCCTCCTCCTCCTACCCCTCCTATCCTGCGTTGTCGTTGTTAAGAGCTGCAATCTCTGATGTGGATACGATGGCGGCTGACGGCTACAAGCAGCAGGCCCCTCCGCCCCCCGAATTCCGTACCCTGTACGACACTCATGGCTCTGCCGCTGCCTTGCAAGGGAAATGGGTAATTGGACAGTCCCGTTGCAGTAGGGAGCTTCAATCGCGTCGCTGTAGCCGTACTGGCGTCGGACAAAACCTGGCCGTACTAGCAAACCCTTCTTCGTACACTGTGCCCGTTACGTCGGTGGCTCACCATCAGCTGCAGCGCCGCCGCCGCGGCCGCAGCCGCCGCCGCCGCCGCCGCCGCCGCCAGCACTGCGGCTGCCGCTACCACCTGAAAGCCCGCCGCCTCTGTACATGCCGTACAACAAGCGCGTCTTTTTGTCAGGATGTGTTCGTAGAGAAGTCGCTGCCGTCAGACCTTCCGGCCCCCGCCAACCCCATTCGCCAGCACTGCCACCGCCGCCGCCGCCACCGCCGCCGCCACCGCCGCCGCCGCCGCCGCCGCCGTTGCTGCTGCTGCTACTGCTGCTAGCAACCCCTCGGTGTTCCCGGAAGCCGGAGGGCGCCGCCAGCGCCTCACCGCCGCCAGCCGCGATGTTGTTGGCTACAGCGAGCTGCCCACTGCACTCTGTTCGTACTTTCGTACATTCAGCTGACGTGTCCATCGCAGGCCCCATCTCGTAGTTACCTTCCTGACTGTCGATACACATCGGTTCCGGACCGCCGCTCGGCTCGTCCAGCGTGGCGGCGTCGACGGCGTCGACGGCAACATCTGAGGCCTTGTTGTCGGCAGCAACAGCAACGGCAGTAGCCGTTGCGGCAGTATCGGCAGTTACGCCGCCGCCGCCGCTACCACTGCCATTTCCGCCGCCGCCGCCGCCGTCCTTGCCGCTGCTGCGGCTACTGCTGCCGCTGTCTTCCCGGGGGCGTTTGTACGGCCCCGGCGTCAGTGAAAACTTAGCCAAACGCTGGGATGGCAGCGACGGCGCCGTCAGTGACCGGTGTACGACGCCGCCGATCCCGACGCCGCCATGGCCAACCCTGCCGCACGCGCCCAACCATGCCTCCGTCAGAGCGCTCACCTCCCAGGGATCGATCGCGGCGGAGGCAAGGCAGCTGCGGTCCGCCTCCGGTGCCGTACGCGTGCGCATGACGGCGGCCTCCGCGGCGTGACTGCCGGCGGTAGCTGTGGCGGTGGCGGCGGCGGTGGCGGCGGCGGCGGCGGTGGCGTCAAGGCTTTCCGCCAGCATAGCTTTTGGATCTGGTTCAGTGGCTACAGCTGTAGCTGGTCTCAAAGAAGACACGCCGCCGCCGCCGCTACAGCCGGCCTCGGCTGCGGTCGAGCCGCCGACCCCATCGACGATGGCCTGCGCCGTAAACATATTCGCCGCCGCCGCCGATGCCATGGCAGCAGCACCGCTGCTTTGCTGTTGCTGTTGCTGCTGTTGCTGCTGCTGTTGCTGCTCTTGCTGTTGCTGTTGCTGCTCTTGCTGTTGCTGTTGCTGCTCTTGCTGTTGCTGCTGCTGTTGCTGCTGGCGATGGGACAACAGCAAGCTTCGGATTGATGACTGCGTTATCGGGGGGGGGTGTAAGAAATCCAGAAGCGCCCCTCCCAAGCCATGTAACTGTCCCCCTACCCAGAACAGCCGGCTGCTTGTACCAGTGCTGCTGCCGCCGTCGCCGCCGCCGCCACCAGTCGCCGCCGCCGCGCCGCTGGCTGACAGCCCATTCGTTCGCACGTCCTCTGGCTGGGCGGCTGTAGCCGCCGACGGCACTTGCGTGGCGGTGGCGGCGGCGGCGGCGACGCCAGGTAGCACCGCCAGAGCAGCCGATGCACATGACGACTGTAGCAGCGATGCAGGTGTCGTACAGACGCCGTCGGCGTCAGATTTAAATTCTGTGGGCCTGGAGGACTGCGGCTGTAGCACCGCCGGGTGCTGCATCCGCAGTACCACCGCATCCGTCGCGTGCTGCTGCTGCTGGTTCGCAGTAGCCAGGGGCGACACGCCCGGCAGTAGCGGCGTGGCGTCCTCCGGCCCGCTGCTCCGCAAATCTTCCACTTTGCCGCCGCCGGCGGTGCCGTACGGTCGCGATTCAGAGGCTGCCGTACTTGCGGCGGCGATTGCAGCTGTCGCCGTGTTGGCAGAGGCGGCAGCAGTAGCTGCCGATGGATCAGGCGCCGTACAACGACCCGATCTTGTTGCCGTTGGCGGAGGCTGTAGCGTCCACGGCTGCTGCTGCTGCGGCGGCGGCGGCGGCGGCGGGTGTCTGGCTAAGTGACTCATGATGGCTGCTACTGCCGCGTCCTTCTGAAGATTAATTGCTGCGGTTGAAGGCCTTGACGGCGCTGGCCGCGCGGGCAGCGGCGGCGCCGCCGCCATTACCGCTGTCGTCGCCGCCGTCACGAACTGGTCGGAGACTCCATGGTAATGGTGATGGTAATGCGGCGATGGTAGATATGGTTGGGCCAGCGGTGGCGGCGGCGGCGGCGGCAACGCCGACGTACGCTGTAGCTGCGGACATCCTCGCGACATCGCGACAGTTGCCGCCGCCGTCGACCCATCCGTACCAAGGTCGATACCCATCGGAACCGCCATACGTATGTCCGTCTGTTCTTGTGGTGGCGGCGGAAGCGGCGGCGGCACACCCGGCGGGGACGCGGCGGTCGCAACGACGTCGGTGGCACCGCCGTCGCCGCTGCCGCTGGCATCCGCCGTTGCTGTTGTCGTATGTTTAAGCACAGCCCGTAGCAAGTCAGCAGGAACCCCCGCCGATAGGAGGGACTGCAGTACGACAGAGTTGGCTACCCGTCGCTTGCTGCCACCGCCGCCACTGCCGTCGCCGACAGTGTCGTCCCTGCCGGCCGTACTCTGCCTGCCTTGTAGCTGCCGCGGCAGCGGCGGCGGCAGCGACGGCGGCAGCGACGGCGGCGGCGGCACTGCCGCCACGGACTCTGCGGGGACCCCATAGCCCGGATCCAGCTGGCCAGCAGCGATAGGTACGACAATATCAGACGCATACCTGATGGCCGTACAAGCGGTGCCAGGGACGACGGCCCCGGCGGCCCTCTCGTCCAGGTGAGCACTGGCGTCTTCTCCGACTCCGCCGCTGCCGTACAACGGCTGGACAGCCTGATTGTAATCCTTGCAGTGTCCGCTGAAGGCGACGTCTGCCGCCGCCGTCACCGCCGCCGTCGTCACCGCCGCCGTCGTCGCCACCTCCCAACCGCCCTTCAAGCCACTCCTCATCGCCGCCGCATAAGAAGGCTGCTTGTTGACGGCATCGCACGTGTGAGCGGCGGCGGCGGTTGCGGCGATATGCGTCTGGTGGAACGGCGCTGGCAGTGCTGGTGTCGGCGGCAGCTGTTGCTGCGGTTCCAGCTGTAGCATTGACGGCCAAAGCAGCGGCGGCGGCGGCGGCGGCGGCGCGAGATCTACAACGCCCCCCGGAAATGCAATCCGAGGCAGCGCAGCACGCACTCCAACCACCGCCCAGGCATCTTCTTCCGCAAACTGTACGACACGATCATCTGCTGCGCCGCCGCCGTCAGCGCTGGCGCTGCATTTGCCAGTGTTAGCGCCGCTACCGTGCACTCTGTACTTCATATCATCGCCGCTGCCGCTGCCGCTGCCGCTGCCGCTGCCGCCGCCAACGCCGCCGCCAGCATCATCGCCAAGGATCGCCGCAGGGGCAGGTCGCGTGCAAAAGACTTTTCCGTACTCTTGGCTACACCGCCTGCTGCAGTCGCCGCTGCCACCATCGCCGCCGCCGCCGTTATAGTCGCCGCGGATTTCGCTCGACGCCGCCGCCACGGTCCCCGCTGCCGTACGTAGGTCAGGGATGCTGGCGGCGCGCGGAAGTGCCGAGGGCGGAACTGGAAAGTGAGGCGCCGACAACGGCTCCATGGCCGAGATGCGGCGTCGTACAGAGCGTACGACGGCAGCAGCGGCGGCGGCCGCCGCCGCTGCCTCACCGGCGGCGCCAGCGCCGTCGCCTCCGGCCTTGCCGCTGCCTGCAGCAGAGCCCAGGCCCCTCACATTGCTCACCGCCAACGAGTTTGGCCACGGCTTCACAAACGCGGCAATGCCGCGCCCGGCGCCGCCGCCACCCCTGCCCAATGTCGTACTGCTCAATGTCGTACCGACGGCGACGCCGTTAGGTGCCTGTTCAACAATTAAGGTTTGGTGGGTTCCCGCATAATGAGAGTTCCCTGCGCAACGGCTGCCGCTGCCCTTGTCGACGCCCATGCCACCTTCACCGGTGGCGGCGGCGGTGGCGTCGGCGTCGGCGGTGGCGGCGGTGGCGGCGGTGGCGGCGGTGGCGGCGGTGGCGGCGGTGGCGGCGGTGGCGGCGACGGCCGGCTCCGCCACTGATTGGGCACAGCGCACTCTGTCGGCACCTGTATTCCGATGCATGCATGTACGGTGTACGGCATGTCACGTGCAAACGGGAACGTGTGCCATTACGTCGTCATACGGCAGCAGCGGCAGGACGCGCCACTGTCGGCTCACCAGCCGCCAGAGAACGCGTATGTATGTATTCATGTATGTATTCATGTATGTATTCATGTATGTATGTATGTATCATGTATCTTCTGGATTGCATAGGCAAGCTAACAGACGCAGTGACCTTCTCCAACCTACCTGCCTGAACGTATCGTACTGTTCGTACGTCCGACACATTTTACGCACGCAACCACTAACTGTATCACGACGTTCACCACCACGAAACACAACTGGAATTTGGCTGCGGCATGCTTTGAGCGGCCTCCTCTCCCTCCCAATATTTTAAATATTTACCGACATAAACAGAACCCTGAACATCTGACTGACGATTACGTAATGCAGTATTCAATTCGTGGAAGTCTCACGCGCAATAATTGCATATTTATTCAATTCGAGTTTAGTTGAAATTGTTTCCTACAAACACTTGGCAAGGCATTAATTTCGAGGTTTCACATTCCAAAATTTGTTTCAACTTGCGGTGAATGTACGAATGTGAATGTAGGCATGCCCCGTACTCATTACGTGGGTTGCCGTACCTGCCCCGTCCTGCTGTCGCCCATCAACCCCCGCAGCCCTCAGCACCACCCTGGAGCCCTCTCCAAGGCCAACCCGACCTTGATGGTGCCGTACAGACGCCGCTGCTGCCGGCCCTGACCCGCCCTGCCTGACGGCGGTGACGGCGGCAGCTGCCTTTGGACATGCTGTTTTCTCGCCGTTGCCGCCGCCGCCGCTAGCGGCAAACGTTGGCGCTGCCGCCGCGGCGGCGGCAGCAGCGGTCGCTGTGGCGGCAGCCTCCGTCGGAAAGTTCAGCACAGCGCCGGGGCCTCGAAGATAGCGGGAAACTCTGTCGTACGCCTGTCGTACCGTCATTTTAAGATGACGCACACACGGTAAAGCCAGGCAACGTAACTATACGGAGAGAAACCGAAACCATGTTATGACAGTCGAAGAGGAAACGAGAACGAGAGAGTATATGAGAATCATTGCGCCACATCCTGACAAGGACACATATCTGGAAGCAATCTAATCAAGGAAAAAAAGAAAACTGAGCATTTTTATAGTATTTATATTGTTATATTAATAAGAAATAAGTTAATTGTAGGCGGCAGAGTTTGTTTCCAGGAGATTTGGCAGTACTGTACGGCAGTATCCGACATGAACAACGCAGATTTGCATGGAACGATGACATTTACCCGGACGGGCACCCGCGACACAAACACGCACAAATATGAAAAACGCCTTCATATATGTGTACGGCACGTACCAGGGCAGCCTCCACGTCAGTGCCGTACGTACCGATGTGCAGCTGGCGCCCTGTGCGGTGAAGAAGAAGAAATGGAAAAGCGGGGTTACTATTTATTCGTGTAACTTGTGAATTTATATAACATAATTATTTAGGAGTTTTGACCAAAATGGCGATGTGGGTCACCGGATCCATAACCCAGAGCCGAATTATCGTCGTGTACGGCCCCATTCACGGCAGTACCACAATACGGCAATACGGCAATACGACAGTACAGCGACAATGACAAAATGAACGAAACGGCGCCGCACCTTCATGCCAGATGTGTGCCTCATACCGCCCAGTACGACGGTACAACGACACGCCTTTGTACTGTGTACTGCGATTGCGGGGCCCGCGGCCCATCACACGCGATGGCACGGCACCCGCCGCCGCTTCCACCACCGCCGGCGCCGCCGCCGCCGCCTCCATCGCTGACGACGCCCTGGCGGCGGCCGCGACGGCGCCGGAAGCGGCCACACTACTGCCGCCGCCGCCGCCATCCGCTTGCGTAGCGGCGGCGGCGGCGGCGGCGGCGCGGAGGGCAGCCGCCGCAACGCCGCCTCCGCTGGCCCTTCGAGCTACAAGGTGCGGCCGTGATGCCGTACCCTGTCGTACATCGACGGTCTGCGTTGTCTGCTTTTCCAAATGCCATTCGGCAAGAAGGACCGGCAGGCTGGACGCCACCTCGCAGCTGCCGCCGCCGCCGCCGCAACCACCACCCGCGGCGGCGGCGACGCCGCCGTCGCGCCCGACACTGACCCGAAGACTGTTGCCCTGTTCATTGTGGCCATCGTGATTGCCGCCATCATCATCATCATTATCATCATCATTATCGGCGGCGGCCGCCACTCGACCGCCGCCGCCGCCACTCGCAGAAGCGACGGCATCATCGTCGCCTACGCCACCGTCGCCGTCGCCGTCGCCTGGACCGCCTAATGGCCCGTGAGCGGGCGCGCTGGTGGCAAGGCCGCCTCGGCCCTCCGCCTTGTGCAGTGCTAGCGCCGAAACCGCCGCCGCCGCAGCTGCCGCCGCCGCCGTCGCCGTCACTCCGCGTGCCTTCGGGCACGCCCTTCGGGGTGACCGACATCGTGGTACGGCAGCGGCAGCTGCAGCGGCTGGTACGGAACACCTGCCGCTGGTAGCGGCTTGCAGTTGCCTGGATTGCGCTCGTAGGAGTCGCGGCGATGAATTACTCCAGCAGAAATTCGGCGCATCGCCGTCAGCTTCGATCACGGTCGCCGCCGCCGCTGCCGCCGCCGCCACCGCCTGCACCGGTTCGTCACGAACACGTGCAACGCCGTCACCGCCGCGGCCGACGCAGCCGTTTTCAACGTCACCTACGTGCCGTACAGCCCCATTGCCTCCGTCGCCGCCAGTCCCACTCACAATGACGTCGCCCGTCTTAATACCGATGGACCGCTGGGACAGACGTTGCCGTACTGCCACCTCGGCGGCCATCGTCACCGCTGCCGCCGCAGCCGTAGCGACACCTGTCGTACAACTTGATTCCATGCGCTGTGAGGCAGCTTGGCGAAGCTGGAGCGGTTGTGGTGTTGGGGCCTGTACGGCAGCAGGTCCTTGTCGGGTGTCTGACCGGCACACGGGAGATGCGGGCGGCTGATGGTTGGCGGCAGCGGCGGCAGCGGCAGGAGAAGTGAGGCTTGAGGGACGTGCTACAGCCGCCGCCGCGGCCGCCGCCGCCGCCGCCGCCGCTACAGCCGCACTGGTGGCGTGGGCGTTGGGGCCTGCTGTGCTCGCGGTTGGTGATGGGGCGGCTGACGGACTTGCTGACGACGGCGACAGAGGCGATGGCCGCTCCCCGTACAACGGCCGTGCCTTGTTCGATCCACTAACTGGTGAACGACCGGCAGCGGCGGCAGCAGCAGCAGCGGCGGCAGCGGCAGCGGCGGATGCCCTTGCAGTGTCAGCGGCACCTTTCCCGCCGTCTTCTGGCGGTGACTGCGCCGCCGCCATCGCCGCCGCTGACGGCAGGTTCGTTGTCCGAGAGATCCTACGCGCCGCCGCGTGGGATGCCGCCGCCGCCGCCGCCGCCGCCGCCGCGGCCGTGGCCGCGGCTCTAGCAGCGGCAGCGACACCGCCGTTACCAAACACGACGGCGCCAGGGCCGTCGCCGCAGCCGCCGGCAAGACGGTCACATCCGGAGCCGTCCACGTCACCGGACGGGGTGGATGATTGCGACGGCGGGGCCATGCGAGACTCGGTCGTCGAGTGCGTTGGTGGAGGCGACATGAGTAGATAAGATCACCTTGCCAGGAGGCTGGTTGAGGAGAATGATTTCCAAACAATATTCGTATAATCTCAGAAATGCTTCGGAGGTGGAAATGGTAAAGATGGAGTGTAACGATGAGGTTAAGGAGAGAGCTGCAATTGGCAGAAGAACCGTCACCAAGAAGTTAACCCAGATGTTGACCTGTGTTGCGCAAAGATACTTTTGGAACAGGTCGATAATCTCGAGAATATTGTCTTAGAAAACTCCTTCCAAGCTGCTGCAGAATTTGGACGACTTGCAAAGTCTCTCCTGTACAGGCTCCCGGGAACGCGACCGCGGTAAGTTTCAACACCGGCCGAAACCAAGCAAGCTTCCGCTGCTTTGTAGACGTAGCGAATAAAATTCGTATGCGCTCAAATCAAACACGGCTTTTCGGATCAGCCTGAGAGACAAGCCCTGAGGCTAGACGACTGCGTGCGCGTGCTGGAAAATCAGCTGCGGCGTGGAGACGGATTTGGGGCGTAAGGAGAAACGCTTGTACTTCTTTATTTGTGAGATGTTGCAGAGCATCCTGTGGCTTCACTGCGGCTAGAGATTCCTCGATCCGGCCCTGGCAGCGGAAATGGCGGGAGAGGCGAAATGCCGAGGTGCCCTGCCCTGGGAGGGATGTGGAGGTGGACGTGGCAAGGACACCCAAACGAGCCCTTTCAATGCTGTAGCCGAGAAAACAAAAAGCCGAAAAGAGAAAGCAGCAGGCAAAGAAATCCAAAAAGTGTTGCTGATGCGACTGCTACGTTCCGATTTTTTTTCGGACCGCTCCAAGTCAGCATTTGCTAGGCGGAGTCTAACAGATTCAAGACACGTACGATGTTTAATTTTGGTATACGGATGCCAGGTAGCGGAGTCAGGATCGATCGGTGACTATTTTGGACTGCCCGAGGTGCGTCCATGCAGCCTCGGCCCGGGAGGAAAGTGGGAAGTTTTCGCTACTCCTTGGACGGCGTGTCATCAAGGGCCCGTTCGCTGCTTGGCCGGTGATAAAATGAGCCATGGATAATACATCAAATACTAGAAGTGAACGTCTTGCCTTGTCAGCTATGGGCATCTTGGATTGAACGCCGAGCCATTCCTAGGTGCGCTTACCTGGATGGGTCGACAGTTAGGCCAAGTCTGACAGTTATTTCCTAGTTTCTTGTTATTAATCCGAAAAGGTTGCTCAAGAAAGGTATGGTGCCTTTCATCTGATACTCTAAGTGTTAAGACGAATTGCCGTATGGCTATTCAGCTGCAGTATGTTGTTTGCACTGTGAGGCGAATCGACGCGGTTCAGCAAATCGGCGGTAAGCGGTAATAAGATTCATAAGGATAGATAAACTGCAACGGTATTAATATTCCCAGGAAGTGAACCTAGAAAGCAGGAGCACTCTGGCTGGCCTTTAAGTTCGCTTCGGGGTCGACCGTAGTCGACCGTATGTGGCTTGAGACGTGTCCGACTCCAAACAGCTTCCACGGCTCCAGTTCTGGATCAACTGCATACCATGCGATGCAGAGTGGGAATAGTTGTTAGTGAATTTTGCGTAACCCGCCAGGATTAGATGCATCGTTCCGGAGATGATATTCGGATTCAAGGCGCTACTGGCTTGGAATGGCTCTATTACTTCCGGTCCTCCTTCATCATCCGTTCCATATCCCTAATCTATTAGCGCGCCAAGCGCGCGATGCTGGGCGTTGCACCTACCGCAACGGTTGCGCGCTTTTCCACGGTCTAACCGGTAACGATTCTTATGATTTTCGCCACCTCGCCAAGATTCAGACGAAGCCCACCACAGTCACTGCATAATGTGCGATTATGCGCGATTTTGCGGTATCGGTATGCGGAGAGTAACATATTGGATGTTTTCGATATGAACACTTTGGGTCATTTGGTCAAAGCTGTTTAATAAGTAACTATCAGCAAACCCGGTATTGTTCGGTGTTAGGTCCCAATCAAGCTTACACAAAAACATGGGCCGTTTCAAACAATTCGATCGTCCTTCATCGGTGAGACATTGCGACACACAGCGCCTATTCATTGGCAACATGCTTCATTTACTAAGCCAGCGATAAAGGTAGACACGAAAGCTCTCCATGCTTGACCGGTGAACCGTTTCAGGTTTGTATCTGCTCCGGAGCCACAACTGCTTGCGTTTCGTCCCAGCTGCCGCGAGTGGCATGGTTCATAGATTTCGATCATCAAATTTCATCTCTGTCCTAGAACGTTTTATTCAAGACCCCAATCACTGTCACCCGCTGTTTTGTTCTCATCCTAACGTACCATCGAGCTCCCAATCACATAGCTAAAAGGTACATTACTAAAATTAGCATTCACGGCCTCTGAGCTCAAGCTAGCTTTGTGGACGCTTGAAGCTTGGGCAAGGGTTACGTATTTAGTTGGCGCGTATGTTTAGGTTGGGCGTTTTCGCAAGGAAACGCCCTTAGCACACCCTATCCTTCGGTTGCAGAATCAGTTAAGAATCTTTGACCTTTTCAACTCAAACTTGCGTTAGGCTAGGTTTTCTGAAAGATTCCTGGCAACACGCACTTTTGTGTCTTGCACCCGTCAAGAAGCTACACAGTTTCGACTAAAAAGGTGTTTTGCACCGCGAAGACGTACCGCCCAAATTTCAATTTTCTTAATCGAGAAGAATCCAAGCTGCTGCTGGGCAACCTGAACCTCGCCACGGCCTGAGAGACACGGGCACTAGCTAGAGGCCGGTGGCACCATGCAAGTTAAGTATAGCTGAAACGAATTACAAACTTTACACGTGTATTAGCAACTCCGACTAACTCCGACCCACATGGCGCATCCACAGCCCCCCTCAGCAGGGCATCATTATCTGCAACAGGGCCCATTTCCCCTTGGAGGGAGCGTTTCTTGTGGGACATCATCAGCCGTTATCCGCCGTGTGCACCCGCGTGAAGAGACGTCGTGAGCCGCAGCGCCCCACTCGCCGGCCCGCCTCTGATTTCTCTTCCCCCGGAAGGTAACGGCGTAGGGCCGGTTTGCCGTCCACCTTTGCCCGCCCCCCTCCCCCTCTCCCTCTTCCCCTCCCCCGCTACAAACTTAAAAAATGATTTTGAATTTCATGTCATTTAACCCCCCGCCCCCCATTGTGTGATCACCCTGCCATCCCTGGAGAGCTTTCGGAGTGTGTGTTTGCATGTATGTATGTCATATGTGCTAAGAGTAATGCCGATGTGCGGCCCAGGATCCGCTCTCTTCGTACTGCGCCTTCGTCACCGCCACGCTGTTGTACAAGTACGACGATCCAAACATGGACATGCCCTCCCAAGCAAAAAGCGCGGGGTCCTGCGTGTGCGTGTATGTGTACATGTATGTATGTATGTAGGGGGAGATCATTCAAAAAGAGCGGGGGAAACGGAGGGTGTGAGGAAAGAAGTCGGAAAAGAATAGGACAAAAACACAGGTGCAGACAGACATACAGACATACGTACACAGACATACGTGCAGACTCACAGGTGGCTGGAATACGTTCAGCTGGTGGTCATCAGGCACCAGAGCTCGAAGCTCAGCGGTGAATCTCTCCTTGAAGCCCGGGCAGCTGGTCACACCGCCTGCGGGGGGGAGGTACGGCCAGGAAGAGGGAAAGGGGGAAAGGGGGAAAAGAGGGAAAGGGGGAAAACCGACGAATCGCGAGCGAAGGAAGCTGAAGCCAAGGAAGGACTGCTGCGGCAGTTGCGGCAGGGAAAGGGGGAGGGGGTCGGAAACTAGAGGGCCCATGATGCCAAGCCAAGGAAAAAAACCATACATACATGCAAACATACAGATGTATATGTACCTGTAAGTACGACATTGCTGTACAACAGCGGCGCCAGTGCTGGGTGTGTTGCAGTGACGGCCTGCACCACGGCCTCCGCCACGCCGGCCTGGTGCAATCCGATATCGTCGGGGTGGAAGAGCAGCTCCGGAACCATGAACCGCTCGTTGTTGAGCACGAGCACCTGGTCGGCCTGTGTGTGTGTGCGTGTGCGTGTGTTTGTGTGAGTTGGGGGTGTGAAGGGACCCCCGAGGGTGAAGGAGTTTGGGGGTTGGTGGTTTGGACGGGGTGAGGATGAAGTGACACGTAGAATGAATGGATGAATGTACGTATGTTTGTGTGTATGTATGCTTCAATGAACCGAGCTGCGAGAAGGATCTTATTGTTGTTACAGAGCAGGAGGCTTCTGGGCCAGTAGGATGTGTGTGTGTGTGTTACATGGTTGGGGGTGCGTGACCCCATACCTGTAAGACTACCCATACGAGCCGAAGGCCCAAGGGCAATACTTCAACGCCTAAAAGCCACGGAGGAAAGGAAAACACTGCAGTAGGATGTGTATGTATGCGGTTCGGTGAGGAGAGCGGGGGGAGGGGGGAGAGGGGAGGAGGAAGAGGGCGAGCGCGTGGAAATACACACACCGTGTCAGGATGCACGTCTATCAACCACCATCGTCGCCTAACCCAATCACCTAACAACTGCCGGTGCAACTTCCACACCACGTCTCACTCCGCATCTCTTTTACCCCGGACAGACAAACCGACAGACACCGTTAGGGGCGACGACAGCTGTTTCTTAGGGTTTTGCACCCCCGACTTTATACTCTAGAAACCCCAAGTACCCCCCGCATTACACACACATACACTACATACACACGCACACGCACATACACACACACCTCTAGTTGTGCCGCCAGCCGTTTCTTCTCCTCCAGCGATTCCGCCTCTCGAACTGCCTGCTTGATGGACTCCACCTGAAAAAACAGTTGAGTACGACATGCGGTTAAGGTAGGTACGGTAGTTGAGGTGGTTGGCATGTAGAAGGGTGGAGGGGGGTTTTAGGGTCTCTGAAGGGCGGCGGGATGTCCACGATCAGGGAGGGGTGGGGGGGATCACGGGGGTTAGGGGGCGGGTGAGAGGTTAAAACACGTACACGTACATACACACATACATACACACGTACATACACACATACATACACACGTACGTACGTACATACATACATACATACATACATACACGCACACGCCGCTCATGTTTCCCCCCATTCTTACCTTAGCTGACCACTCCTTCGGGTCCCTCAAATAACCCCGCAAATTGTGAACGCCGTCCGGCAGTACGAACTCACGGCGATGGGGGGAACGGGCGGCGTTCTGAAATACACAATGTACGACACACACCGGGGGAAAGAGAGGAAAGGGAGCGGCGCCAGCAGGGGGGGA